CCACATACATACTCTCAAGCAACCTGGCAGAGTCCAGTGTCGACCCTACACGGCCCTGCCAGGTGGGAGCAGCCTCCCAATACCACGCTGCCCCACTTAACCCTAGCTTCCACCCTAACATTAAGTGGTTAGCCCTAACCACTTAGGTTAGGGATATGGCGGCCAAGTCAACTCTCGCCAGCAAGTAGAATCTGCTCTGATACCAATGTTACGATCTTGGCTCATTTCGAAGTACACAACCATTAGAGAGTACAATGCCATCCAATTGCAAGAAGAAATGAATGAACTTGTCAATGAGAGGGAAAGACGAAGAAGAAAAAGTAAGAAAGAAGAAGAAGATCATGTACTCCAGCGTAAACCAAAGACAAAGCTCTTCTCCTTCACTCACCAACCTCCTCGTCTTTATCTCCTCCCGTCTTATTCAAACAAGAAATAACAATAGTAATGCTGAATGACTGAACACAAATCAATGTCCGAATGCCACTTCTACTGCAGGCTTCACAATCGATCCACCATAGTCATGACTTCCCCTTCTTCCTCCTCTCACGTGTCTAGGCTATGGCGGACTGCTAGGTCCTAGCGCGGATGTCCAAAGGACAACACAGACAGCTATGGCAATGCCCCTTCCATGTCCCGAGGATGACACAAAGCAGCTATGTCGCTGCCTAATGCTCCGCCATGGCTGAATCTGTCCCGAACTTCCTTGGTGCCACACTACCCCAATGGGGGCCTTCCAGATGCACCACCTAACAAGGTGATGAAGAACATGTCCACCATAGCCAGGTAGGTCCCTCGCCACTCTCCTCCCTAGTCCCCTTCTCCCTCCTTCTACCGGTCGAGCTCCACCATAGCCAAGGTGGAAGCTCCCGGCTTCCTCCTCCTTGCTGCGCTCCAGCAGCCGGCGCTCTTCCTCTTAGCGCTCCAGCAGCGTGACGCCCGACTTGCGCCTCGAAGAATGAGGTTGGGCTCTCCGCCCGGCCTCTTGATATTGCGACCTACTTGCCTTCTAGGCGGTGACTTCCAAGCCGCTCGGCCTCTCCAAGCAACCGGTACCTCCTCCGTTTCGGAGGGAAACATCATTGCAGACCCTGATATTGCCCGTACAGGCTCTAGACTCAGACTGGTTGGACTGGTACCGGCCTAGACCTACCCTACTGCTACTGGACTCTAAAAATGCCAACTTTGTCGTCTTCTGCTCGGCCTCCAGTACCCCCTCACGCCAACTGCAGTGGGGTGCGGTATCGACCCACCGGCCTACTTGAGTGTTTTTCCGCTACCCCAAGGGCCACGGGGCCGCTAGCTTCGCCACTTGAGTGTTTCCCTTGTTGCAACCCTCAATGCCACGGCCACAGGTAAGTACCGGCCCTACGGACCCACCAAACGAGCAAGTACCCTTCCGGGTCACACACACAATCATGCAGACAAGCACTCAGACAGGCACGCAAGTCCATAGGCACGCATGCACACAGACTTAGAAAACACAGCAGAATGCGGGAATCCCAGCAAGGCATCCATTCCATCAGCAGAACTTCAGAAATCAGCAGTGTTCTCAGTCTGTGTTATGATGGGTCATTACCGGTGTCAAAAAATGCCCCTAAATGGTGCACTTGCCCCTGTTCCGCCCAGTGCAACTTTGCAATATGGGCCTGTTTGTGGACTGTAGGGCGCGGCCCACACCTTTCACCATCTGTTGGGCCGGCATCTTCTCTGCCTGCCCCACAGCCAAGTTTATTTTTCCTTCTTTTCCTCCCTAAAAACTACACTATATTCTTTAGTAACCTTTCGTGACCTACCTACCACGCTACACAGGCAACCCCAGCAAGCATAGTTATCTACCTCTTTTGGTGAAGGTGGGAAACCTCTCTCCATGAAGGGAGGTAATTGTGTGCTTGTCCCTTGTCCTAGTGGTTTAGGGTGCAGGGTTAGGGCCTGTGTGTCCGATAAACGGAGAACGGATGGATTTCAACAACGTCAAACCCGTTTAACTGCCCCAGGGACCCCCGCTGAATCCCGTTTTACGGGAAAACGGGGGTGTCCCGTTGAATTCCGAAAAACGGAATCGGTGCGTTGGGCCTCGGACTGACCCCTATTAAAAGGGTGGGGTAGCCAAGCATGCCCCTCCCTTCCGAAAATCAAACTGCAAGAGGGAAAAAAGTTGGGGCCACCCCATACCCCAGCACTGTGAGCACATGTGTGTGCATGTCCTTTTCTTTTTTTGTTTTACAAATGCTCCAATTTATTCGTCCAGTCTGATTTCCGAAGGGCCCCTACATTTTAGCAAGGACCCCTCGTGGTGCAGAGATGGACATTAGACTTCTAGTCTGTCTGCGTGGGCCGACAATGTATAGTCTAGATTCGAATTCAGGTCTGTCCATCACACTGATCATAGTTATGGGTAGCTAATTCTCTGTTTTCTCGTTTTTCTTTTGTTTTCGCATTTTTTTCTCGTTTTTCTTTTGTTTTCTCGTTTCTCTTTTGTTTTCTCATTTTTCTTTCGCCGTCTTGTTTTTCTTTTCTTAGGAATACGTGCAGTGGCCCTTAGGGCCTCTACTCACCACATGCACAAAAGACAAAACATATGGCGGCATATTATTCCACGTTCTAGGAGAAGATTCATTCTAATTCTGCACATTTGCAGTGGCCCTAAGGGCCTCTACTCACCACATGCACAAAAGACACAACATATGGCGCCATATTATTCCACGTTCTACCAGAAGATTCATTCTTTTTTTTTTTTTTTTTTTT